GAGATGGATATGCATAGCATTGAATGGAAGGTTTTGATTGTACAGGACATTTTTATTTCTGATTCCACTAACTTGGAATTTTTGATCATTCAAACAAGATTTACCTAGAAAGAGGAAAGAAGAGTACTGTGAGAAGAATATGTCTGGGCAGTTATTTTCATAAACAAATGAAACCACTCATTCATTCCACGAATTCTTACTAAGCACTTATCTGCTAACTTGCCTCTATTTAATCTCTTCCCTTTCTGGACTTCCATGTTATCACATAGTCTCAATTTCTCTCATCTCTCAGACCATTTCTTCTCAGGCATATTGAATATCTCCTCTTCCTTCTTCAATCACTGAATACTAGAGTTCTCCCAGTGTTTTGTCCTGAGGTTTGATCTCTTTTCATTGAAGATTCTCCCCCACATATCTATGAGACAGGTTCCCCTCACCACTCAGCCACTGAATGGGTAACAGGACATCCCAAGTGCCTCAAAAGGTCTATTCAGTGAGCAAGAGCATCCCAGGCCCTGGAAAAGATAGTAGCTCCCATCCTCCAGTAATAAATGTACTCTCTAGGTTGTTCATAAGAAAGAAATGTGTTTTTAATTAAAGTGCTGAAAGGACAGGGATTACTGGGCTCAACCCCATCCCCTCCCTCTTTGTCTGACTTTAAATACCTGTGCTAATCGGTACTTCAGTTAGTTATCACCACACACACATATATACACACACACTCAGCATTTGAAAAAGCCCAAAGCTTAGTGGCTTAAAACAAAAATCAATTATTCTTACTGATCTTAATTAGTTCAGCGGGTCTAAACAGGGTTTGGCAGGAATGAATTGGCTGTTCTCCATATCTCTCTCATCCTCCTCTTGGGATCATCAGGCCAGTCCAGGAATGTTCTTATCACAGTAATGGCAAAGGCAAAATCTCACAAGGGGTCTTGAGGTCTAGGTTTTGAACTGGTACATTAGCACATCTGCCTCATTTTTTTATTGTGGGTAAAATATATATAACAAATATTTTTATTTTATGTAATGTATAAAATGTTATTATTTTATAATATTATTTTAACTATTTTACCATTTTAACTATTTTTAAGTGTATTGTTCAGTGCCATTACATATATCCACCTTGTTGTGCAGCTAACTCACCACTATCCATCTCCAGAATTTTTTCATCATCTCAAACTGAAACTCTACACTCCCCATTCCTCTCTTCTGCTAGCCTCTGGTAAACCCCCATTCCAATGAAATACAATATTTGTCCTATTGTATCTGACTTCTTTCACATAGCATGTTTTTAAGGCTCACCCATGTTTAGCATATGTCAGACTATCACTTCTTTTTAAGGCTATATAGTGTTCTATCGTACACACAGAACATTTAGTTTACCTATCCATCCATTGATGGGTATTTGGGTTGTTAAGTCTTTTGGATATCATGAATAATGCTGCTATGAACACTGGTGTACAAATATCTTTTCAAGTCTCTGCCTTCAGTCCCTTTGGGTATATACCCAGAAGTAGAATTGCTGGAACATATGGTAATTCTGTATTTAATTTTTTGAGGAACTACCATATTGTTTTCCACAGTGGCTGTTCTATTTTACATTCCCATTATCAATGCACAAGGCCTCCAATTTCTCCACATCTTTGGCCAACATTTGTATTTTGGGTTTTTTGTTGGTTTTGTTTGTTGTTTTTCACTAATAGCCATCTTGGTGGATGTGAAGGGGTGTAACTCATCATGGTTACTTGAGCATTATTTCATGTGCTTATTGGCAATTTGTGTATCTTCTTGGGAGAAATATCTCTGAAGTCCTTTTTTTAATTGGATAGTTATTGAATTGTAAGAGTTCTTTATATATTCTGGATATTAATCTCTTATCAGATCTGTGAGTTGCATATATTTTCTCCCTTTCTCTGAGTTGTCATTTCACTTGCTGGGATAATGTATTATGTTACACAAAAGTTTTAAATTTTGATGAAATCCACTGTTTTTTCTTCTGTTGCCTATATTTTAGTCATCTCTAAGAAATCACTGCCAAACCCAATGTCATGGAGGTCTTTTCTCTATGTTTCCTTCTGAGAGTTTTATACTTTTAGCTTTTATCTTTAGGTCTTCAATCCATTTTGAGTAAATTTACAAAAATAGTGTAAGTGATTTGTTTGCATATGGATATCCAGTTTCCTGGACCATTTGTTGAAAAGACTGTCCTTTCCCCAATGAATAATCTTGGTGCCCTTATCAAAAATGATTTGACTGTATATTTAAAGGTTTATTTCTGGGCTCTATTCTATTCCTTTAGTCTATATGCCTGTCTTTATGCCAGTACTATACTGTTTTGATTATTATAACTTTGTAGTAAATTTTGAAATCAGAAAGTATGAATCCTCTCACTTTGTTCTTTTTTTTCAAGATTGCTTTGCTTATTCTGGGTGTTTTGAGATTCCATATGAACTTTAGGATGAGATTTTCTATTTGCAAAAAAAAGTCATTGGAATTTTGATAGGAATTGCATTGAATCAGTAGATCACTTTGAGTAGTATTGACATCTTAATAATATTAAGTCTTCCAATCCATGAACATGAGATGTCCTTCCATTTTTCCGTGTCATCTTTAATTTCTTTCAGAGTATTTTGTAGTTTTCAGGGTGCACGTTTTTCACCTCTTAGTCCATTTTGTGATGCTGTAACAGAATACCTGAGACTAGGTAATTTTTAATGATCAGAAATTTATTGACTCACAGTTCTGGAGGCTGGGGAGTCCAATACCAAGGCACCATGCAGGTTTGGCAGTTCTCATTCCAAGAGGGCACCTTGAATGCTGCATCCTCCTTAGTCGAGGAACAGTTCATCTTCACATGGCAAGGAGAAGGGCAGAGATACAAAGGGGCCAAACTTGCCCTTTTATAATGATATTAATTCCCCCCATGGGAGTAGAGGCATAATCATCTCTTAAAGTTCTCACCTCTTAATACTGTCACAATGGCAATTAAATTTAAACATCAGTTTTGGAGGTTGATGTTCAAACCATAACAGCCTCTTGGTTAAATAGTCCTAAGTATTTTATTCTTTCTGATGCTATTGTAAATGAAATTGTTTTCTTAATTTTCTTTCTTGATTTTTCATTGTTACTGTAACATATCTCATTTTATCAGCCAACTAAGTCATGTGGCCAAACGCAAAGTCAGGAGGGGGACATACAGCCCATCCATCATAAGAAGGCACTGCACAATTACATGCCAGAGTACACCACTACCTCAGAAGAAATGTTTTTGAAAAATGCCAAAGGGGGAAAAAAAGAAGTGAGCAAAGAAGGAAGAAGGTAGCAAGGTGCCTAGGTAAACTGCTGGTGCCCAGCTAAACAAGTAGCAGGTATGGGGGAAAGAATACAAGGCCAGGAGTCAAGAGGGCCCACCACATGATCTCAGAGAAGTTTCCTAACATCTCTAAGCCTCAGCTTCCTTCTCTGGTGGTGGGCTAGATGATTTCTAAGGGCCTTTCCTGAGCTAATAACCCTCCCATATTGTGTAAATTATAACAGTTCTGCCCCTAGAATAGAAAATAAGCAACATTAGAAAATCCCCTCTCTTTGTGGATCCATGGGCACCCACATATCCAACACAGGTAGCCATCTGTCTTAGTCCTTTCAGGCCAGTATAAAAAAAATACCATAAACTGGTGGGTTATAAACAAAAGAAGTTATTTTTTACAGTTTTAGAGGCTGGGAAGTCCAAGAACAGGGTTTCAGCAGATCTGATATCTGTAAGGACTTGCTTGCTGCCTGCTTCCTAGATGGAGCTTTCTCAATGTGTCCTCACACGGTGGAAGGACCAAGGCAGCTCTCTGGGCTCTCTTTTATGAGGGCACTAATCCTGTTCATGAGGACAAAGCCCTCAGGACCTAACCACCTCCCAAAGGTCCCACCTTCTAATACCATCACCCTGATGATTCGGCAGGAATTGGGACTCAAAACACTCAGATCGTAGCACCATCTTTATGTCTCATAGATCTCATCATTTTCTGCCTTACATCCAGCTTTATTAGTATGCTTTTTAAAAATCTTACACCAGCTGGGATCTTCTTAGAAAAGAGGAGATAGTCTTAACTGCCTTAACTGTCCCCAGAGCAGTGGGTACCAAACAGGTACTTTTCTAACTGAACTGAGAGAAAACCTCCGGTATCTTTAATTTTCAAGTATTCATTATGTTTTAAACTTCCAAATAAATTTTCTTTAGAAGGTAAGTTTCTGGGAGCATAGCAGCAAAATCAGAAAGTACTCTGAATGTAGAAGAATTGTATTTTCTCTCACAACTGAAGTACGTTTATCAGACCAATTCTATGTTACAAAGTTTTGGGTAGAAACAATATCTCAGTTTAACATTTTGAAATTGTATCAAAATATGTTCAATTACTATTTTAAAAAGTATAATATAATACATGTCCAGTGTAGCCTTGGCAAAAGTTTTCAAAAGACAAATGTTCTTAACTTATAGAGAAAGAAGATCAATGTTTAAAATTGCTTTCCTAGTCTCTGTTGAAAAAATTGACATGAAAAATCACATAAAGAGTAAAATGCTTTTACCAATTAAAGTTTGATTCTTAACTATTGCTATATAGTATGGTATTTTTTCCCCAACATATATTTGAAGAAGAAATCTCTGTCAGAGTAAAATCGGTATAGGAACTTACTAACTTGAAAAAAAAAAGGTTCAGTGAGTGAATATTAATTACATCATTTTTAAAAGTTAGTACAGGGTCATAAATAGAAATAGACACTTTATGTTCTCCAAGAATTTTTACTTAATTGAATAATAGTCACTCTTCCAGAAGCCCAGAGAATAAAAACAAGTATCTCCTGTTTGGGAATGGCAAACATAATAAAAATGCCATGCATAAGGCCACATTGTATGTACAGTTCCTAGAGCCACAGAGACACTGAAAAAATTAGCCAGGAGAGTGTTCTTTTTTGGCTTTACCAATGGCTTACTCCTCCTTTCCTTCTAGGCTGCCCCATCAAAGGTCACCCTACCCCCAACATCACCTGGTTTCATGGTGGTCAGCCAATTGCCACTGCCACAGCCACAGGACTGACACATCACATCTTGGCAGCTGGACAGATTCTTCAAGTTGCGAACCTTAGTGGTGGGTCTCAAGGAGACTTCAGCTGCCTTGCACAGAATGAGGCAGGGATGCTCGTGCAAAAGGCTTCTTTAGTGATCCAAGGTAAGAAACCCTTCAGGGTTTGGGTGCTGGACTTACCTAATGGTCTAATAGAAGAGAGTGAGTTCTGATCTCCAGAGGTGCCCAGGGCAATGAAAACTGAAGCTGCACCATGTTTCCATACAGTGATACCCTACTTCTGCCAATGGGGCTCTTCAGATGAACTACCAGGCCCTATCCCAGCAGAAGCTGGAAAAGTCAGCGCTGCCTTCAAAAATGGGCCCTTCTGTCCATGACGCTGCTATTGCTCAGAACCAAGGAAACGCTGCTGCATATCAAAGTCTGATGTGCTTCCTTTATGCTAATTTAACTAGTAAAGATCTCACACACACACAGAGTAGGCTGTTTAAGAAATGCAAGTTTTCTCTGATTATTTGGTTAAAAAAAAAATCTCTTGATCTGAACAGTTTGGTTATTACCTCCTGACTAGAGGGCAGAGGCTGGTGCCAGTGCTGACTGATCATTGCGAAGAGTCTTCAGCTGCAGTCACCTGCAGAAGACTTTCCAGGCACCTTTCCTTTGGTCCTGGCAAGGAGCAGCCCGAGCAGCCCGCGTGGCTCGTGCATTGCCCTTCCAGGAAAGCAGCCGGGGCCGAAAGCCTTTGGGCAGGGCCCAGCCTTCGCTGCAGCAGGAAAATGTTGTGAATGAGCCCAAAACAGTGGGAAGAGAGTGAAAACTGCCTTTTTATAGAAACTATGTGATGCTTTTGAGTTTTCCATAGGCTGGTTCTACCTCTGGCCTATGTGTGATACTTTTAAGGAAAGCACAATTCTATTGCATGTATTCCAGAATGGAAGATTATGTGGGAAGGGACAGAGTTTTGTGCCAATATGGCACAAAAGGGAGAAGATTTTTCTAAGCATGTAAGTTTTCCCCTTAAATATCCTTCCCCACCATTTGGCTTTCTAGACAGGAGAGTAAATGTTCCATTTTCTCGCCAGCTATTCTCTGCTGAAAACCAGAAGCCACTGCCTATCTGCAAGACTTGTACTACACAACGTTGCAAATGAGCACTCAGAATTTACCAGCTCACGTTTATTTTTAACCACTTTCCTACTAGTGAGTCCCAGACCCCCAAATAGAAAAACCAAACAAATTTGGCATTTTTACTGACATCACTGTCTCATGTAAAGGAGAACTTTCTGGATGGGGTTGGTTTTTTTTTTTTTTTTTTGGTAACATTTACAAAATCCAATCTGAACTTTTAAATATGTTAAGTATCTTAGATATATTTATATCTCTTTGTAGAAAAAATAAAAAAGGACCTTAGCAGGTATGTGTAAAAATAATAAGAGCTATAGCATTAAGCACTCTCCGTGTGCCAGGCACCGAGCTAGGCCCCGCCCTCACAGTAACTTGATGAGGAGAGGGCCATGTACTCATTCTATGATTGAGCCACCTGAGGCCCCCGGAAACCGTATGACTTGCTCAGATAGACTGGGAATGGTGCCACTGAGGGCAAGTCCTCATTCATAATCACCTCCCTCCCTCAGCCCACCCCCTTGTCCTGCTCAGAAGGAATATGGCGTGGGGGCAGTAATGCTATCTTCTTTTCAACTCTGCTGCTCCTCCTGTGACAGATTACTGGTGGTCTGTGGACAGACTGGCGACCTGCTCAGCCTCCTGTGGCAACAGGGGTGTCCAGCAGCCCCGCCTGAGGTGTCTGCTGAACAGCACAGAGGTCAACCCAGCTCACTGCGCCGGGAAGGTTCGCCCTGCTGTGCTGCCTATCGCCTGCAACCGGAGAGACTGCCCTGCCCGGTGAGTGCAGCGGCGGATGCTGGCTCAGGCCTCCCCATGACGCTGAAAATATCCTCAAGTGAGCCTCTGCTTATCCCCTCACCACTCAGCCAGCTAATGGCTCACAGGGCCTCCCAGATGCCTCAAAGGGTCTGTTCAGCGAACAGGAGCATCTCAGGCCCTGGGAAAAGATAGCACCCATCCTCCAATAAGAAACATACTCTCTAGGTTGTTTGTAAGAAAGAAATGTGTTTGTAATTAAAGTGCTGAGGGGACAGGGATGACTGGGCTCTACCCCAACCCCTCCCTTTGTGTCTGATTTTAAATACCTATGCTAATCAGTTCTTCAGTTTCGTTGAGGAAATCTTATCCTCTTCTATAAAGGGGTGCATCTCATTGAAGTTGGAATGAACCTCCATTTCCTGCAGTTGCCTCATTCTCTGCATTTGGGTTTCTTGTGTAGCCCAGAATGACACCCAGAGTCTCTGCCTCTGACAAGCTCTCAGTCCTACTGTGCACCCCACCCCCAGTCTTCAGCAGTAGCTACAGGGATAATGGATGGGGGCTTGGAGCTGGCACCAGTGTGGTGCTCGGAGCCTCAGGGGACTTGGCTTGGCCCTGAAATACCCCTTCACTGCCTATCTGTAGAACTTTCATAGGCTACTTAGGCAACTGCTTTGTGTTTTGCCAGCTGAGTCATAAGGAGCAGCTGAAACCAGGAGAGACTCAATGAAATCTGAAACACACTCATTAATATCAGCAGTTTGACTTGTTGACGGGAAGGTTTCCACGGGAATGATTAATGTCCTTTTATACCCTTCCTGAACTGTAACATAGCCCATACCTCTCCTTTCTCAAACCCCCCACCCCAGCTCCTGAAAAATTGCTGAAATGTATATTTGGAAATAAAAGTTGATTGAAATGCAGGCCTGACATTCACCAGGGATATGAGAGGCTGGAATACTGCCCTTGCCAAGTTGTGCAAAATGAAGAAGAGATCTTTGACGTGCCAGGAACTTTTTGATTTGATTTGGTGATGGTCAGAGTCAATCAGCTTAATTTACTTCTGCAAATGCAATAATAATGGCTCTGTTTTCTTGGGTTTCAGTGCCCCCAGGAGTTTCAAAACACCTCATGCCTGCTTCCTAAGTGGCTCTGCTCCTGTGGGTTGGAAATCTGCACAGTCATCCCTCTCCAGGGGAAAAGAGCAGGGAAGTTGCCACAAAACAAATAAGTCACAGATTTGGGAAGAATTTGCTCTCCTTGCTTGCTCCATTCCTCTTCTGAAAACCAGATGTGGCACCACTTGCCTAGGAGGTAGCCATGGGTTCACCTTTGACCAGTTTTCCTGCCAGGCTTTTGGACACTTTAGCATCCTTCGTTCTACTCAAACAAGTATTGCCCTGGTCGTTTTTCTGAATAGAATTGGGAAATCCTGCTTTGAGCCAGGTAGCTATTTCAACCATTTCATGTTATATACGTTTAAATGGCTAAAAAGCAAGAAGTCATTTGTTGCTATTTTTCCCAAACTGTCTGCTTCCCTTCCTCTTTGACAATTGTCCCAGGGTGCACGCTTGCAAAGAGAATCGTGTTTGTATATGGATGACGGATTTCAGAGTATTCCCCAGATTACAGCTTGGCTTTATGAGAAAAGTCTATTTGTCACAGTCTTGGGCAGTCTTACTTCTGACCAAGTTGTAGTTGGAACCTAATATTCTGAGAACAACTATTTCCACCACTGTGCAGCCCTCAAAGAGGTATAAGACCTATAGAGCGTGACTCAAGGAGATGGGAAATTGCTCCAGAAAGCAACTGTGTATGTTTCTGAGGGATTACACAAAATCAAATGAGACATGGGTTAAGGTGAGGTACAGTGTACACTAAGTGCTACCAGATAAAACCTTAAGTGAGACCCCGATTACCTTCTGGGTCAGGAGATGACACAGATTTGGATTTGCCTTCCGTAGGAAACTGTCCCCTGTCACATGCTTGGCTGCCTTTGGGAACTCAGAATACTCTTTCTGGTCAATTTCTCAAGTGCATTAGCAGCTTAAAACAACAGAAATTTATTTATTCTCTATTTTGTAGGCCTAAAGTCCAAAATCAGGGTATCAACAGGGCCACACCAGTCCCAAGGGCTCCAGGAGAAAATCTGTTCCTTGCTTTTTTCCAGCTTCTGCCTCCAGGGTCATAGTGCCTCGTCCTGGGATATAATCTCCCTCTGCCTTTCTCTTATAAAAACACTTCTGAAGGCATTTAGGGCCTCCACAGATAATCTCATCTCTAAATCCTTATGTCTGTAAAGAACCTTTTCCAAATAAGGTAATATTCCCTGGCTCCAGGAACTTGACACAGATATTGTTTGGGGGGATGAAGGGCCCTTTTCTCCAAGGCCTGTCCCTGTGGGCTCCACTGATGCTTTCTTCTGTCCCCAGGTGGATGGTGACCTCCTGGTCTGCCTGTACCCGTAGCTGTGGAGGAGGTGTCCAGACCCGCCGGGTGACCTGTCAGAAGCTGAAAGCCTCTGGGATCTCCACCCCTGTGTCCAATGACATGTGCACCCAGCTTGCCAAACGACCCGTGGACACCCAGGCCTGTAACCAACAGCTCTGTGTGGAGTGGGCCTTCTCCAGCTGGGGCCAGGTGAGGAGCCAGAGAGGGTTTTAGTTGAAGGAAAAATCTAAAGGTGTAAAGGCTGCCCTAGTAGAAAGTAAAATTCCACCATTGCCGCCACCTCTGTGATAACTGATCTTTCACATTCCCCTGTGTCGTCAACCTGCCCAGTATCAGCCCTGCTCTCAGATCATCACACACCCCCATTTTGTCAGGCCACCTCTTTTTGATGGCTGTACTGGGGCTGATTACTTTTAATATTCTGAGAAGTTCCACCTGGGGCGTGCAGTGTTGTTCTGGGCCAAGGGTTCTTAACTGGACTGCATGGTTATAATCCCTAAGTCAACTTTTTTTAAAAGACCAACGTTGAGGCTATTCATCCCAGAGATTCTAAGTCAATTGCTCTGGGGTGGGATTCAAGCATGGGTAATTTTTAGAAACTCCTCGGGTGATTCTGATATGCAGCCAGAGTAAAGAACCATTGTTCCAGCCAGATCACTTTGAAACCACCAACTCCCTTCTCAATGCTGTGCCTCCAGGTTACCACAGAAAGTCCCAGGCAAGCTGAGCACACAGACTCACTTGACCCCTGGGGCCTCCTCTGAATAGAATGGAGGAACCATGACTCTCTCCATTTAGGGGGAAAGGTTAATTGTGATGTGAAATAAGGCCTCTACTAGAATAGTCGTCCTACATATCTGATCCCTCCACCATTTTAGAATGCTGTTGCACCCCTCCCCCCCCCAAAAAAAAAATCAGGCATGGAGGTGCTTGGGGGAAATTATATAATTGCATATACTCTGTTTCTCCAGAAGTCTATGTTCAAAACCTACTAGAGACTACTAAGCATGCAAGAACTAGCTGCTAGGGCTGATATGTGGGTAGTAACATTTATATTTGTCTGGGGCTAGCACTAATTGGTAGAATGACCATTCTGATTGGGCAGGCATACTTTTGGGTTGGTTGGCATCTGAGCGATACCATTAAGCTTGGCCAGCTAGGACATCCCAAAACAACAGGCTTTTAATTCTTCATGTATTTGGCCATCTATATATTACCATATTCATGTCCCTCCACTCCCACCCCCCCCCCAGGTGTGTTCTTTGGCAAACAATCACTTACACCTTTCTGTTAACACACTATGGCCATCTCTAATGGAGATCACATGTTATTGGCCACTGAGTTCACTTGCAACTCATAAGCCATGTGTGGACCAGGTAAGTCTGGGGCAAATCAACACGTCTTTCTGGAGCCTCTCTACCCCACCCTCCTTATTTCCGGTGACATAATGTATATACTTCATAATCGTGGAGCTCCCTTTGGTGCCACACCTGGTGGGGGCTAGCATCTTTCTCTTTCCTAGAAAAGTCTACTTCTGATAACTCTGACTCAGCCCAAGGCAGCTCTGCTTCTATGCCCTCAAGGCTTATTGCCAGTTTGTGAAATTATGATAGTGAACAGATCTGGCAACAATATGGCATGCATAGTTGATCACTCTTCCTAACAGAAAAATACACAGGTTTTTTTTTTCTATTCCTTCCCCTTAAATCCACTAGACCAGTATGTCTCGGGGGGGGGGTCTTGTTATAAATACATATTCTGAAGTGGTAGGTCTAGGTAGAGCTTGGGATGCTGAATTTCTAAAAGCTCCCAGGTAACACCAGTTACAGGGAAATGTATCTACCTCCTTGATTGAAGTCTATGAAAACCAAGACAATCTTCTTAGCTCCAACAACCTGCCCTCAGGTAATAATTCAACTTTCTTCCTTTAATCTAACATACATTTATGGGACACCTGTCTTGGGTAGAGAAGGTGTCCCATATGGGACACCTGTCTTGGGTAGAGAAGGTGTCCCATATAAGCTTATATGAAGGAATGAAGGCAAAAGCAGGTGCCAGAACATAAACAGACTTGGAAGGAATATGGATTATAAATGGGACTAGAACAATTTTCAAGTGGGAATGGGACAATCAGAATTAGACTTTTATTCTGTTACCAGTATGGTGATCAAATTGGAAAGTGAAAAGACTGGAGAAAGAATCCTAGGTAAGATATTATGGTAAGCCAAATGAAGGTTTTGGATGGTAGATACAGCGGGATATCCACTTCCTCTCTGAAAGTGTGATTCATAAACATGGCTTCCATGATCCATTGGATATCAGGGATGAAAGAGAGGGAAGAAGCCAAGATTTGGCTGGAGGTTTCTGGATTGAACAACTCGATAGGAATACAGGATGAAAAACGGGTGGATTGGTATGATAAATTCTTTTGGATATGTTTAGTATGTGCATGAAATATCCAGGGAGAGGGAAAGTATTGGGCGGAAAAAAAAAAACCCTGGAATATATATTCACAGAGACCAATGGAGGACCTTTCTCCAGAAGGAAGGATCAAAAGAACAAACAAGCATTGGCCAGTACCTGCTGGAACTTGACTGATAGGAGGTCACTCTGTGAAGGGGTGTTTTAGTGTGGCAGTAGGGACTGAAGTCAAACTAGTGATAAGTAAGTTTGAAAGTGAAGGAAATAGTGCTACCTGGGACACACATTTACTTACTCCTTCAATAATTCCTACGTGTGGTCAAGGGACATCAGCAAAATGGCAGATTAGGAAGTTCAAAGTCTTTGTCCCCTCATGGAAACATCAAAAACAACTAGACACTGGCTGACGTGCCCTTATAGGAACTCTAGAAAGTTCTACAGCAACCAAAGACTGACTTTTGTGGCATTTTCAGTCACCCTTGCCCCACCCTCTCCCTAGTGTGGCACAGTTGTGATCTTGAGGAGGTGACAGCCACTACTTGTAAAAGCTGCAGGGGGCTACAGACCTGTAGCCCCCTGGAATAAGTGAAGATACACAATATACCCTACCCTCTAAAGTCTGAAGAAGAACTTTGGGTGAGACTCTGGGAAATTAAGACACTCAAATGTAGCCATATATGTAAAGGAATTGAGAAGCTAGAAGAGAGAAAAATGACCAAAGCCAAAAGTACATTCTTCAAAAAAACATACTTTTAGCTACCTTGACTAAGAAATAAAAGTGAAGACATTACTATGAACAATTATACACCAACAAAATGGATAAGCTAGATGAAATGGTCAAATTCCTAGAACCCCACAACCTATTAAGACTGAATCATGAAGAAATAAAGGATCTGATATAGCTATACCTAGTAAGGAGATTGAATCAGAAACTTCCCAACAAAGAAACTAAGAAAACTATCAGTCAATATTCCTTACAGACTGGGCACAGTGGCAGCTCACACCTGTAATCCTAGCTCCTCAGGAGGCTGAGGCAGGAGATAGCTTGAGCCCAAGAGTTGAAGGTTGCAGTAAACTATGATGATGCCACTGCACTCTAGCCCAGGCAACAGAGTGAGACCCTGCCTCAAAACACACACACACACAAAAAATCCCTTACAAATATTGATGCAGAAATACTCAGTGGTGAAGACTGAAAGCTTTTCCCCTAATAAATGAATTCATAAATTACAGGATACAAAGTCATCATGTAAAAAATCTGTTGTATTTCTATACACAATGAACAATGTAAAATGGAAATTAAGGAAACAATTCCATTGACAATACATCAACAATAGAATTTTAAAAAACCAAGTAGGTGAAAGACTCGTACAATGAAAACTACAAAACAGTGTTAAATAAATGGAAGGAACAGCCTGGGTATCACAAGCAAAATATGAAGTTGGACACTTACCTTATACCATGTATAAAAATAAAAGTATAAAAATCTTAGGGAAAACATTTCATGACATTGGATTTGTCAATGATTTTTTTAGATATGGCACCCAAAGCAAAGGTGATAAAGTGAACTTTCCAATATTGGTCTCAAGGGTGCATTTTTTTTTTTTTTTTACCCCAAATCTCCTGTGTCTTTGTGAATAATAGTGTCAAACTGGGCCCTTCAGAGCCCAGAAGTGAAATAACTGGCCTTGGGCATATTTGTCTTCCCCAAGAGGCCTACTTTTACCTTAAATTATTCTCCTTCAGTGGTTCTTAACCTTTGAGGTCAGGGATCCCTTTGAGTACCTGATGAAAGCTAGTGGGAACCTCCTGCTAGAAAAATGTCAATAAACACAAAATTTCTGCTCATAATGCTAAGGATTAACACCCCACCACTGCCCTCTATGGAACCCTAGGGATCCAAGGATCCCCAAGTTAAGAGCCTTTGTTCTAAAGTGACCTCTATGGGATGCCTGTTCTCTTGTTCTGCTAAAATAGCAGATGTTGGTTAAGGGCCTGCTGCTTTTGTATTTTACAGACAAGTGTTGTTATGGGTACTACTGGGAGAGGGTCAAGCCCTGCTAACTCTGGGAAAAGCTTAACAATCTCCATGAGCCCATAGCAAGAGAATACAAGGAGGGACTGTACATACCTGAATCTGCTTTGTGTTCAGCCATCCTGGGTTTAACCCGGAGAGAATGAAGCCAAAGGAAAGAAAGAAATGGAATTGGTTATTTGAATGAATTTAGCAAGAAAACAATAAGCCAAATTATTCCCCACATTAAAGGGGAGAGGGGAGGTTATTTAGGTCTTAAGCTCTAATATCTGCCACTCCATTCTTAGCACATTATGCCAAGATACCTTTTGTATGGTTAATCTGAGAGAGGGCTGACTCTCCCTGACTGCTTCTTTACTACCAATAGCCACGTGCTAGCAGAATGCCCACAGACTACAGGAAAGCTAACCATCGCACTATGGCATAAAGAAAATATGTTTGTGAATGTCCTTTTGTTGGCCCACAGAGGGGAAAGATCTGAGAGCCTCCAGTTAGACTCTGCACAAGGATCTCATGCAGTCTCCACCCTTGACTTGGCTAACATCATATATATCACCTTTTTCTGCTTTCCAGTGTAACGGGCCCTGCATTGGGCCTCGCCTAGCTGTGCAACACAGACAAGTCTTCTGCCAGACCCGGGATGGCATCACCTTACCGTCAGAGCAGTGCAGTGCCCTTCCGAGGTAAGAGAAAACCCTGGACCTCCTTTCCCCAGCCACTGGGTCAATAGCACAGAAAGATGGTGGTGAATGAATATTTCTCCTCCCACTGTCCGAGGGGTCACACACCTGACCCTCTCTCCTCCGTTCATCCCAGACCACTGGCGTCCCCAGAGGTAGATAGCTCAATGGTGGCCTTGTGCTTGTCTAAGGGGTAGGCTGGGCTTTTCTCTCTTGGGGATAAAGAGTACACAGGGTATTATTCTGAGAGAGAGATCTGCACTAGCCCCAGGGTGGGCAGGAGGTGAGGGGTACACGATGGCCACCAGACCTCAAAGGTTCTACTAGCCCTTCACTCTACTTGACCTTCCTCTAGAAGTTAGGCTAAGATGAGGACCCTTGTTCCTGGGTCCCAACCTATCATTCCAATCCAGTTCCCATCCCTATCACATCTCCTTGGAGATGGCCCACTTGGAGGAAGTAACCTTCTTGAGATCTTAGGGCCATTTAGTAACAGAGCAGAGATCAGAACCCAGGCCTGGCAATGCTAGAAGTTCTTGAGGAGTTGCTCGACATTCCTGGGTTTGCAGCATTATTTTCACATCTGTCCCACCAATCCAGCCCCCGCAGAGGCAGATCTTAACCCTGCCACCCTCCTCCTGCAGGCCCGTGAGCACCCAGAACTGCTGGTCAGAGGCCTGCAGCGTACATTGGAGGGTCAGCCTGTGGACCCTGTGCACAGCGACCTGCGGCAACTATGGCTTCCAGTCCCGGCGTGTGGAGTGTGTGCATGCCCGCACCAACAAGGCAGTCCCTGAGCACCTGTGCTCCTGGGGGCCCCGGCCCGCCAACTGGCAGCGCTGCAACATCACCCCATGTGAAAACAGTATGTTCTAACCCCAAAGAACTTTCTGGAAATTCCCCACAGGGAATCAGTTGCAGTCCCTGGGACCAAGCCTGAGCATAGGGCAGTGGATCAGCTTCCCCAAGGATCATGACCTGGGGTGACAGTTGAGCATTTTCAGTGGGGTACATGGGTGGAGATACACATATCCCGGCCATGAAAAATGGCAGTGTGTGCCCACAGGGCTTCCACAGTCTCCATCCTCGCCCTGAGAGAGCTGGGCGCTGGTGGCCCAGTGCTGGATGAAATTGGCCTGCAGTCAGTCTGGCTGTGCCCACTGAGTAAACAACGGCCCTCAGGGGCCAGGCTGCTAAAGAGAAAGCACAGTTAACACTGAAGCAGCACAGAGGACCTCCTGCTTAGCCAGCTCTGTACTTCCCACCAAACAAAGACCTGCTGACACCTCCCTCCTTCCCTGCCCCACGGGCACCCACCGAACCATGCAGGAGTCTGGATCCTCCTCCGCCCAACACCAGCATTTGTGTTCCAATGGGGTAGGGATCTATTTTTTTTTCCTCTGGACCCAGAACCAAAATTGGAGGTGTTTTCCCATGAGGAAGAAGGCAAAGAACAGGAAATTAAAAACAAATATAGGGGTGCAGTTTGCCCCTGAGTGAGCTTCACTGACAATAGATTTCCAAGGCTAAGGCCTGTAACTCACACGTCCTTCACCTGGGGAGCTGCATATAACTCAAGCACAGAAAACAAAAAAATAACAAATTTTGCATTAAATTAAAAAGGATCATTTTGTTTTTGAAGTTTTTATTCTATTTCCTTAATAAATTTTTACTTGAGGCCATGGTGTTTTGTTTGCCAGAAAAATTTGTGGCAGTCAAACACTGGGGGAGGAGTGACCTTTGCACTCTGGATTAGCACTGACCTCTATTTGTGTCAGGACATGCTCGGAGAACACCGGTGTCCAATGCAAGTAGTTAAGACAGACTTACCAAACCAAATCCGCACCAGTATTTGAGAACCATCTAGTCTGTACCAACACTGAACCGGAACGCCATGGTGCTGTGTTTACTGCATGGTGGGTGGAAGGAGCAGAGCTGCCTAGGTAGAGAATGTAGAAGACAAAGCTTAGCAGAGACAGTAAGGCTCAAGTACCCAGGGACAACTGAGGGCATCCAGACTGGTGCTATCCCCACTGTCAAGCAGCCTAGAAGGCAAGTGGTCAAGCTCTGCCAGAGCAAGGCCCACCCAGAGGGGCTGGAGAACAGTGGCCCAGGAAGCACTCCGCAGCCCACTACCCGGGCTGTACCCCAGTGGCTGCCTGTCTCTGTTTCACATTTGTTCTTGTCCCCTTTCCCACCCTCTTTCCCAGTGGAGTGCAGAGACACCACCAGGTACTGCGAGAAGGTTAAACAGCTGAAACTCTGCCAACTCAGCCAGTTCAAATCTCGTTGCTGTGGAACGTGCGGCAAAGCGTGAAGATGGCATGGGGGAGAATTCTACCCTGGCCATGCAAAGGACTCACACGCCCACCTTGGACAGAACTTACGCTTTCTTCATTTATTTATTTATTTCCCCCTCCACCCCCACCCTCCATCAGGAGGATCTCGGCATGTTTCCCTTTTGGTTAGCCGGAGGGCAGAATGGCAGGAAAGGTTGGATGTCTAAAGGAGGCTGCCAGACAGACAGTAGGGGCTCCCTCCCAAGCCTGCGTCTCAAAGAGACCTAGGAAGAGGCAGACACAGCCCCCCGGGACTACAGGGAGCCAGAGGGTTTGGAGAGCATTGGTGCAAACAGTGGACAACCAGCTGTGTCTTTCCTAGAAGGCACACTGTCAATGCCACAGTGTGCTGCTCCTTTGTGTCCCCCTCTGCCTCTGTCATGGTTAGGACAAGGAGGGAGGGGGGCCCTATGCTGAGGCATAAATTGGCCCAGAACTCAGTTCTTCTATAGAGGGCACAGAGAGATGAGAACTCAAAACATGGATAGGTAGAAGTGAAGAAGGAAACAATCAAAGTAAGTCTAAGGCACACAACGATGTGGAAAATAAAGGAAGGAGGGAAGGGACTGAAGCAAAAAGAAGCCTGTGTACGTGCCTCAGGAGGGAGGCATGAGCAGGTAGGAGGGGCTTCCAGGCAGCCCTGAGGCTCTGACCCACCCCAACACATGCTGGAGCATGCTCAGAGCTCTACTGCCCCCTCTTCCCCCAAGAGTGCCTGCTGCATGGTTGGAGACATGCCCTCCATGGTGGAGGGAGCATCCCATCCCATCTGAGTAAACTTCCTGCCCATGCAGCAAAACCAGAAAGAGATCGTGTCTGGCTGTGCAGTAAGGCTGCCCCTGGCACCTCTTCATCTAAATCAAGACTCCCCCAGCCCTGAACTAACTGCTGCTGTGGGCCAGGGGCATTTTGAGCATGAGTTGGCCCGGCTGTCTGCCTATATGGCTTTGCTGCTCCAAATCAATTCGCCACAATATCTATCAGGTTGTAGCAACCAGTTCTTTCGAGAGCTGGCCAGGGACCAGCGTGGGACAGTGGGTTTGTGCATGCCTATAGCATGCTCTGCCTTTCCCAGCTGCCACCCTGGGGTCTGCAGGCCCTCCCTTAGCACCAGGAGAGCTGCTGTATGTAGTATTTATCTAGCAGGTTAGGGCCAGGGTGGGGATCTGGGGCAACACCCAAGGATAGCTGAAGCTTACAACGTGGCCTTCGATGGCTCTTCAACCTATGCCCCCCACACAGCAAAATCCTTTATAATAATTAATGTACACCCATGTTGGTGATTTAATAATTAATTCAGCAGCCAAAGCAGCACACACATTTTGGCAACACACATCAGCCAGTGCAAAGTCATGCAGTGAGATGAAAACTGGGACTCCTGGGCAAATTGCTCCTGCAGCCCAGCCAGGCAGCTTTGGGTGAGTAATTTTTGCCTCCTTCCTCTGTGTGGCCCTAGTCTAGTAGCCAAGGGCGGGCGGCCACAGTCACTCACCCCCCAGATATGCCTCCCCTCACATACACACTCATGAAATGCCGCTCGCCCTTAGGGCTACCACTGACATCAGCCACCCTGGAGGTAAAATTTGGGAGGAAGACAGTATTAATCTGTGTCCTCCCCAGGTGCGCTGTGGGCAAGTAATTTGGGTTTCTCTCTTCCTCACCATGAAAATAGGCTCTAAGAAATCATGTTACTAAAAATCAGTGTAATGTTTATTTAAAATAAAAGAGATTGTTTTCTATGTATATCTTTTGTGAATATTTATTAGGATTTCTTGTATAAAAAAAGTGCAATATTAATAATTGTACATTGTCATCCAGAAAAAATATTTGGGGGACTTTTTATTAACTTCCTGCAGTTGTGTTCCTGTAAACTCAGTGGTGATTATTGTAATTTTTCCTATTTTTAATCAAACTCGGCGTTTAACTCTGGAGCCATTCACTGTGTGCAGAATACATTGTAAAAACTAACGTGGGATGCCGGGGCAGTAAGAGGGGACTCATTTGTGACAACAGTTATGCATGGAATGATGAGGACAACTTCCATACTACTACTAATGTGGCTGATTGTTTCTAGTTCAATAGCTATCGATAAAGTCTGTGGCCAATATTTACATTTCCTAAAGAGCAGGCATCCTCCAGCTCTGCCACATGCCGGGCTGGAGCGGTTGGCAGTGGGTTTCGGAGCGAGCTGGAGGGCCTAGGTTTGGGGTGGAAAGCAGCGTGCTCCTTGCATGAGATGAATGTACATTTAATGTTTGTTCTGTGAATTGCGACTCAGCGGCGCCACAAGATTATTAGGGCTGCTGGATAATGTGGAAGGAGACAGTTCCTCCTCTAAAACACAAAACTGTATTTGTATTTTTTGTACAGATAATACAGCTTATTTATTTAAATCTTGTCGTCCGAGTCTCTATTAAGCTCAGCCTTCCCATTGTGTTCTATGCAGCGGGTGAGAAAAGTTTGTGTCAATTGGGTTGTTCCCAGCCGCTTATGTGTGTTTGGCTGAAGTGGAAGAATTGCAGTTTTCAGCTTTGCATGAGAAGCTGGGGGCCCATGTCTGGAAGGGCCAGCTCTGCAAATGAACCCAGAGGGGCTGCATTATGGAAGTGCACTCACCCAGGCTGAACGCTACAGCTTTATGTAGTGGGAAGATGGGAGTCACAGTACCTTCAGGGGGAAGAGCAAGCAGTGGCATCCCTTGGATACATGCAGACTCGGGTGTGGGAGTTTCCTCTCTCAAGGTCAGGCTTCCCGCCAGCAGAGACGTACAGTGTGATGCAGCTGTGTGATGAAATTTTGGATATACACCATTAATAAAGGCTAGCGTTTATAGATCGCTACTACATTTAATGCTCGCATCGACCCTATGATTATCCCCATCTACATATAGGTAAATAGCAGCCCAAACAAGCCCAAGGTCGCCCAGCTGGTGGAACCAGGATTCAAACTCAGGCAGTCTGCCTGTAGCCAAAGCCTCACTTTCACCCACTGCATTGCCAGTGACATGCCATGGCCACCTCTGCACACACACCACTCTTCCCTACTGCTTTGAAGTTGGTAGCTAACGACAACGGGACATTTTACTGGAGATGTTGCTTTCTCCTGCCCTAAATCCATTCTTTTGGCATTATGGTGCTTCTAGCACCCTATTCTTAAAGCATTTTAATAGAAATAGGTGACTACAGAAAAAACAAAAGCACATTTGTAGAGCTCCTCATAAACAGGCTCTAGAGAAAGGGCAGGCCCAGATAATGTCCACGAAGGGACCATTCTGAGAGATTCTCCAGAGGACTCGTGGCCTGAAAGCCAAACTCCAGCCTGTTTTCCAGCAACTCCCCCTGCACATCACACTCCTGTGGAGCTGCGTGGAACTATACCAGAAGCTCTTCTTGAAGTTCCAATTATTTTTTAAGTTTTAGGTTTTGGTTAAAGAAAAAGCCAATGCTAGAACTATTAATATTCACAAACCAGCAATGAAACAATGTCCTACAGAGGGCCTAGGACAGGGGGAGGAGCTGGAGATGCCAAAGCAAAAAATCCAAGAAGGCTCAAATGGTGGGAAGGGCTCATATAGAATGGATGGACATTTTTTCAGCCACAATCACAGACATCAGCAGAAAGAAAAAGAAAGATTCCTACCAAGATGCAACCAAACAGAGCATAAAAGTTTGGAATCTTAGCCACAGGCCAGTCCTGGGGATGTAACTCCTCAAACTAGAGTCCCTGTTTAGCCTAAGATGATTTCCAGGAAATCTGTGGGTCCATTATGACCAGAATGATCAACAGTCACCACAGCTCATTCATGCCTCAGCTTTCTCATCTGTAAAAGGAGGATACCTCATAGGGTAGGGTTGGTGTGAGAAAACCATTAATTCGTGCATATTGGAAAAATACAAGGGTACCTGGCATATCACTGAGGCACTCGTTGATGTTACTTGCTATTACCTTCATTGTCAACTGGAAGGAGAGCGTATATTGTGTTATCAGAAGGTCACAGCTGACAGAATTTTTGCTATTTTAAGGTATTTCTGTCAGCTTTGCACGACTCTCCCATGTTTCCATTTTTGATTGAGAAGGAAATCAGTCATTCCTTCAAAGCTCAAGACTACACAATAGTATAAATAAGAGAGGAGTTAGTCAACCAAGTTCTGTGTCTTGGAAGAAAGCAGATCAATCCAAGTAGCCAACTCAAAGACTCGCCAAAGTACAAACTTCCAGAAATACTTCCCATAATATTTTAAATGTCCTTATAATCCCAATGTACAGCCTAGTCTCAGTGAAAAATACCCAAATGTACACATCACTACCATTCTTCTGTTACTAAAAAACATGGAGACATACTCATTCATGAGCAAATATAAAAGTAAAAGCTAAAATTAAGCATATCTGACTTGCGCATGGTACAGTTTATCATACACAACATGTGATTATCCCCTTGCTTCGTCCTTCGGATAAACCCAAAGGAAATAATCCAACTTTATTCATGATTCTCAACTAAAATGAGATAAGTGAGATCTCAGTAATGTATCTGTGGGGTTCCCCAAAGCGGTCAAAGCCATCCACAAAGGGTCAGGGAACGGTAGAGTACAGAAAAGGATGGAGCACTTGGGAAAGCACACAATGAAAACTGACCTGTTAAGTGAATTAACCCAAGGCAGGCTAAATTAGGAAAAGAAATAAGGTATAAGCCCCTTGGTCTTGTCTCTCTGTGTCCCTCATTTTGTTCAGTAAATGAGCTATGATTTAAAAATTTTGGGATTTAGACTCATGTGCACTGGATGTGAGTTAAATCAGGAAAGGTTATCTCCCCATGTCACCTACTGCCAATTAGGACAATATCAGTGTTGATTTAAGCCATGAAGTAAACAGCAAAGAACTGACTACCCAATGAATTCTACCAGGTCTCCAAGTTTAACCCCAAATTATTCTCTGCTCCCATTCACCCGCCCACCCGGTTCACTTGGAGATGCCTTAAAGGTCATGAGCTTTTCAGAGACTGTTGTCTTTGGCCAAACCTCAGCTGCTTATTCATA